GAATTTTCTAATGAATTTTACAATAAGCCAAGGGAATTCTCCCTTTAATACTCTCATGAATAAGATAAAAATGTTTTTCTAATGAATTTTCTCTTAGAAATTATAGGAATAGTTTAGTATACTTAAATAATCTCTCTCAAAAGAGTAGATAATACATTTAAGGCCTATAATCTGGGCGAGAGCATATTTCACAAAAAATGAGTACATACAGGTAAGAATTTAATGCTAAGATATTTAATGCACTTTCATGGTTATCCACTCACTTAAATTAAGTCCTATTTTATAGTTTAGGATGAAAAAAGACATTAGGAATACTTAGAAAGTGAATTAGAGTCATTGGAGGTGTGAAGAAGTGAAGGAAAGTGATGAACCCTTTAGTCGCCTTGGGTTATCAAATTTTACTAGAATGTAGAAGTGAGTATTCTAGGTCATTTCCCTAGAGAGCAAAGCATACAAATCATTGTTCAAATGCTTACAAATTAATCTGAATTTTCAAGTGACTAAACTAACTCTATAATGCAACAATAAATGTTTGCAAAATTCTGTTTTAGTTGGAATGAAATGAATGATGATTATGGTGAGCCCAAGTCAGATTTCCTAACATTAATCATTGATTTCCAGAATTATAACATCATAAACCTTCTTGATTAACCTAAAATGAGACACTTAGAAACCTCTAAGTGTGGTGCACCATTAGACTCAATGGACACTAATGAATCTAGGTCAAGTGAACTTAAAAATTAACACTATATTCAGCCTTGTTCGACACAAGTTTCAGACCAAAACTAGTGGAAGAAAAACAGCTTAAGTCAAATTCATATAACCAATATGGATCTAACTCAAGTCTACACAAGAACTTGAACAAGAATCAGCAAGAACTTATGAATAACCCTAGAACATCAAGGTAAATCATAAATTCCAGAACTGAAAATAGCATGAAAATCTAAATTCAACATTCATATTCTCATCAAATCTGAATTAGAATCACAAAGTCTTCAACCAAAACAGGTTCAAAATTCGAAATCCTCAAAGAATCAAGACAAGAACATGAAATCAAGAAAATGAACAACAATTACAAATCTGAAAATCTCATAATGTCAAGTCATCTTTCTTGGAGCTCTAAATGATCAGCCTCTCATGCTCTTCCTCTTTGCTTGAATCAGACCTTGAGCTTGAGAAGCTTCCATGGATGAATGAAGATGAAGAAGTTGCAATCTGGAAATCTGGACAAGAGATGGACGAAAATGCAAGCTGGAATGGAGAAGAAAGTGGACAAACATCTGAATAGAGAAGGAATGATGATCTGGACCAAGTGTTGATGATGGAAGATGAAGAAATGAAATCTGAAAAACGGATGAACAGTGCTGGACGAAAATGAATGAAGAAGAAGAGAGAGAAATCTGGAAAAATCTGACAAGTGAAGGTGAAGAATGAATATGAAAAATGAAAAATGAAGGATTAAGTATGTGTGGAAAATGTGAGTGGTGATAAAACGAAAGTGGATGGTGATAAAAACAAGGAAAGTCCAGATCTGAAATGGGCTGGAAAAATGGACGAAAATAAGCTAAAATGGGAATAAAAATGAGGTGGAAAATGTGGCAAGGGACATGTGAACATGTGTGGGAAATGTGACTCCTCCTTAGGCTCCCAATCAGCTGCCACATGTCCTTCCACTAGATCTAATCATGTCACACCTCCCATGCCTCTTCTTCACTTGATGATGTGTCCCTCAATGCTTCCCATGCTCCTTTAATTTTTTATTTAATTAATTCTCCCCAATTAAATCTGAATAATTGTGCTACATCATCCCTCAAATAATTCTAGAATTTGCGCCCAATAGCCCCTAAATTCTTCATCTTTATTTATTTGCTATCTCTTGAATTTCTCCAAGCATGTTGACTAGCCCTTGATCCTTTATTCCAAAATTGCCCTCACAAAATCTGAAAATAAAAACACAAGACTAAATAAATTCTAAACAAAAAGAAATAAAAAGGAAAAGAAGAGAATTAATGTCCAAGATCTCAAATTAGGATATGAAAGTGTCAAAACAATCATCAAATAGCACTACTGGGGTTCATAAAGTCAATCTAGAAATGACAACTCAAAACTAGGAATTAAACCCTATTATGCACAATTTGATGCCAAAAACCAAGTGTTTTAACATGTAAAATATGAGATAGATCAGAAAGTAAAACCTTACTTTTTTTTTGTGAACTACATTAAATACATTATCAGAACCTCATTTTAGTGTGCATGAGGTTGAGGCACATGTGGATTGGCTCAAGATAAAATGACTTGGTTCACTTCTAGCTAGTGTAAGCATGAAGTCTCACTTAGGCAAGTGCGTATTGACAGTGATAAGCATATCAAAAATTACAAAAAGGACTCAAAATTACAATAAAGGACCTAACATTATAAACAATGATCTAATAAATTACAGAAAAATACATCAAAAACTAAAACAAAAAAGTACCCAAAAATTATAGTAAAGGCCCTAAAATTACAAACAAGGGCCCAATAAATTATATAAAAGGATTGAGAAAATTTTCATGATTGTTTTACGTAATTTTTTAGGTTTTTTCTGTCATTTTCTAGTTGACTAACTTGAAAATACCTTGAAAACAAAAATTTGTTCTCGAGCCTTAAATCATCATTCCAAAGTCTTAGAAATATTTTTCAATACTCAAATAAACATATAAACATTAGAAATTCAACCTAATAATTTATATTCAACATAAACTCAACCATATAGGCATAGGGATTAACTCAAAATTCCAAATTCAAATACCAACTTCAAAGAAATTTTTTATAACATTTATTAACTTCCACCAATCTCAACCAAACATAATAAATTAGCACAACTTTAAATTATCTACCTCATAGGAAAAGCCTAATCCAAAAATCATCCTTAAACTTAAAGAAAAATGCATAGAATGGTAAAGGGGAAGGCAATAAACCTACCTCAAGGGGTTGCAAGGCTCAAATATAGCTCCTAAGGCTTTAAAAAAAGCTCTAGCAGAGCAAAATCACCCATTTGTGTTTTCATCTTCCTCTCTCACACTCTTATTTAATTTTCAAAATAGGAACCTTTATTTGTGTTTTCAACCACAATTGATCATTGCCAATGTATTTCATAACAGTGAACAATTGAAGCCACTTAACTAGTCTGCCCTCTCTATTTAAGACTACAGACTGTTGTGCCGTGTATTAGGTTAAACCGTAGATTGTTGTAATTAGAATTACTACATACTTTCTAATTCATCATCAAACCTCAATTTAATTACTCTAAATCCCAAATAACCAACACATTTAGATTCCTAATTATTTATTGATATCAATAAACCTCAAATTAACATAATCTCCTCATTAAAATCTCATATTAAAAATTTTCTACTCCCTTAAATTAGCACATTATAGAAGTTATAAAATACTAGATGAAATTTTCATTTTAATTCTATATGTTGTCTTTTACATATGTATAAAGAAACTATTTCAATAGTTTGAATATATGGTTGTCATAGGATTTACTCATTTTTAACAAGATAATGTTATGCATGCTCTTAAGTATTAATGTTATTTTATGTTTCTTTCATTTTATATTTACTGAAAGAAATTGTGAGAATTATTAATAACAAACTTTGTCAAGCATTGCAACAAAAATCCCAAGATATAGTGAATGCTATGTGCTTGATATATATCATAAAATCACTTATCCAAAAGTTAAGAGGTTTGGTGAAGATGTTCTTCTAAAAAAAATACTTTTTTAAGAAAATAATCAAGCTATTGAAATTTATGATATGAATTATTTTTATTCTATATAATTTGATCTCATTGAAATAAATATTTTATGATAATTGAAAATTATTAATGTGTTGATATATTTGTTTACTACAATTATCAATTAAAAAAATTAAATAGTAAATTCAATAAGTAAGTAATATTGCTTATTACATTTAATAGAACTTTAGATTTCAATGATATGTTTAAATTATTTAATGCTCATAGGGATGCTAAAATTTTTACCAATTTAATGATAATTTATATTGAAAAGAAAATTGCTAAAACATTTATTATAGATAATAATTAATGATTTTTATACCACAAAAATCGATGAGCAAAACTTAATATATATATATATATATATATTGTTATGCATGTGTAAAATTAAATATAAACATATATGTTAAAATATTTTTATTATGTCAGTGATATATATATATATATATATATATTTTTCTTTAATTATTATATATTTTGTCATCTCAACCCCTTAACAAGAATTCTTGACTTTGCTCTTGAACGCACATACCCTTGCACACACAAAATACATGTCAATATTGGGTTTGAATCTAGAACCTCTTCCAAAAGAGTAAGGTGGTATTGACAACAGGGTAACTAATCATTTATGATATTCAATTTTTCTTACATGTATGTACTTCTTTTGTTTTTATATATAAGAGAAAAAATTATATCTCACAGTTTAAGAAAGTCAGTTAACTAAAATTTCTTATGTTAATTAACTTAAGCATACATTAATTATTTTTCATTAACATAAATTATGAGAGATGATTTGGTAAATTTTGTAATAAATGTTTATTGAAATGAGTAATTTTATTTGTAAAAAAATATACTCCCTCCATCTCTATATATCCTATATATAAAAAATATTTTAAAACTTTTTTATCTTTATATATAAAAAGTTATTAATATATTTTTAAATGAATGGATCATTATATTTTTATTAAATAAAAAATATTTTAATTAATTTAGTTTAAAAAAATTATTTTTATTTAAAATAAATAAAATTAAAATTAAAATATTATGAATTAGTTAAAAATATTTTATATATTGAAAAGGAAAGAGCAAGTCAAAAGTGATAATTCGTTTGATAATAATAATTAAAAAAAAAATTGAGGGAGGATTTCCTAGAACTTATGACAATGAGACTCGTACGCATCTAACAGGCGCGTGCATTTATTAGTCTCTTCACGACGGGCAAAGCAAGTGCTGGTACCTTTCTCTCTCTAAATTTAATAAAGATACCCTCTCATCCATCCCTACGCAATTTGCCTCAGACTTGAGACTTGAGACTCCCTCCTCTCTAGTAACAAGACAAACTTGCCTTTCGAATTCTCCATCAGATCTCTTTCATCTCACGGTGAACTATCTGAAACTCCACCACTGAATGGTACTGTACTACGAAACGTCGTTGGATTGAAGCAGGTGTTCTGTGTGTTGTGTTGTTTCAGGGCGAAGCACGACAGGGCGGTAGATGAGGTGTCGGAGGCACCACCCGCCGGACCTCAGCAGCACCGTCGGTGTCTGCGCCTCTTGTCTCCGGGAGCGTCTCCAAGTACTCATCGCAGCACAAGAGAAGGCGCATCTAGCGCGCGTTTCCTCACGCGCCTCCGACGATCACCCTCGGAAATCTGATCCTATCCCTCCTCCTCCGCTCGTCTTCCCTCGTTCCGTCTCGCCGTATGTCTCTCGCCGGAAATCGGACTATGCCAGCTGGCAGAGCTGTGACAGGCATAACAATCTCTTCTATAGCACGCCGCAGCTTGGCCCTACCTTCGGTACCGGCAATTCTGAGGCTAATTCAGGATTCCCTGGCAGAACGAGTTCGTCATTCAAGAAGAAGACGGGAAGGTTCTGGATTTTCTCCAGTCTGTTCAGATCTAGATCCGATAAATTCGAAGCGAATCCGAGGATTGCTTCTCAGGAATCATGCGAACCATCTTCATCGGTGTCTCCCTCATGGTTCTCGATGATTTTTCCGGCTTGGCGGAAGAATATGGATAGGATGAACTCTCTAGAAGTTTCCACCGCCACAGGGCGGAGGCGTTTTCGGCAAACAGATCGGGGAATGTCACCGGTGGCAAACGAAAGTTGTGTGGTCGATTGCCATGGATGTGACCGATCCCCTTCAGCCGGTGGCTACTCGACGGAAACGTCTCCTCGGTGGCGGAAAACGCCATCGACAGCACCGTATACGACGCGTCGTTCCCGCCACGTAAGGAACGTATCAGGCATGGGCTTTTGCTTAAGTCCATTGGTGAGGGCGAGCCCGAACCCTCACTGGAACCCCAAGGGATTGCCTCCGGAGGTGGCTACGGCGGGGGAGATGAGAGGCACGGCGGCAGGGAAGCCTCACCTCTCCACTGCGTCGTCGTTTTGTGCAAACCGCTCCAGGAAGCTTGCTGACTTCGGAAGAGCCAACCACATCCGTTGATCACGATGACCATTGACCTTGTACGGTGACACTTCCCATGTGTTGCCTCTTCCTCCTTGTTGGTTTCTGCACATCCGATTTTTTTTTTTTTTAATTTGAACAAAAGAGAGATTCTTTCTTCTTCTTCTTCTTTTAAATTTTTGCCTTATTTTTTAAAAACAATTTCTGTACACAGTTGCTTACTACAAGAAAGAGAAAGTGTGTTCTTTAAATTTTAATAGTATTATTGATATTGATATTGAATTGCTTCTATAAAAATACATAATGGTTTCCCCCAACTTCAGTTTTCAGTCACATTAGATTTTACACTACAGTAAGCAAAACAGGGTAACTATTTCAATATATTATCATGACTAAAAGATGTTGAATTAGAATATTGTTGGATTGATTAATTTGATGATTGTTAAGGTTATTTTACGATCAATCAATTATAATTTGCATTTTAATTTCATCTTATCCAGTTTGATCGTTTCTGAAGTGTCTTGACTCATTCCTTTGATTCATTCTCTTTTGCCAGTAAAACACGGTACTGGTATTTAACGGCAAAATGCCATTAAAAAAAAAAATCCTTATCCTTAATTTTAAAATTACTTGTAAATGGTTTTATTGACTTCCAAAAACTAAGTCTCCTTATATAATAGGAGATAGGAAATGTGACATTGTGTTTGTTCTCATCAATATGAATATGTCATCCTATTTTATAGGATGTTTTTTATTTTTAAGTGGTATGATACTTCATAATGGAAGATATTTTAAAAAATAGTGATTTATTAATAAAATTCGTTTTAAAATTACCTCTCATTATTTCATATTGAAATACTATCTTTCTCTCCCTCCGTTAAGATTTGAAACTGTATTTACTAATTGATTTTATTGGTTTACGCAAATTTACTAAAAAATAAAATACGTCTTATAAAATAGTTGGCGGATAGGGTGCAAATTTTCTGTAATACCTCTTTTTTTTATTTTTTATTTTTTATTTTTTACCTCTTATATCAATGCCATTTATGATAGGTCTGATTTTGTTGTTAAAAAAAAAAAATTGGAGAGCATGCAAGGATGTAAAATTTTAGTTTAAAAAGAAAATCATAAATGAGGTTAAAAATAAAATATATTCGTAAATCATCAAGTTTTTCCTCCTAGGTTTTAGAAAATATTTGAAATACTTTAGGTTGACGAAATTAACAATAAAGGATAATTAGATACCTTAATGTAGATTTATTTATATGAGATTTATTTATATGTGGAAAATTTTTATGCGCTTAAAGTTTATTCATTTTTACTAATTAAATCAAAACAAGTGTAAATTTTTTTACTAATCACATGCAATGTAAATAAATATAGTTATTAGAACATATATTTTATTTTTAATCTTTAATTTATTTGTTTTGATTTGATCATATATATATATATATATATATAAACATATCAAACTATTACTGACATTATTTAACTTAAAGAACATAACTTTTCTTCTTTTATAGAATCGTTTGAATTGTAAATCGGTTTGAAAAGAAGGATTTCTTTTTCAATTTTTCAAAGGGACAATTTAAGAACCCAAAGAAATTATTAAGTTGAAAATTTTTAGAAAATTAGAGAGGGTAGTGCATTTTTATATAACTTAAAATGAGCTATAATATTTATGCCTATAAACATGACCACTTTTTGTATTGTTTATTTTGAACGAAAGATAAGGTTTGTGACTTTATGTATAATACCTAATCTGAATTGAGTTGCACTATGAATAACTCATAATTAATGTCACTCCTTGTAGTTAACTATATATATATATATATATATATATATATAATATTCTGTATATTGATATTTAATATCCAAGTTTTCTGTGCATTACTTGAAGTACATGACTGTAAGGTGAGTCATGCTACATAGCTTTCTAGAATTAAAACTTATTCAAGTTCTATATTTTATAATTGTATTGATGATTTATACTATTGATATATTTAGTATTAGAATTAGAATAATAAGAAAGCTAGTAATTATATAATTGAATTTATCATTAGTAATAAAGAAAAAAAAAACTAGTAGCAATACTTGATTCTGGTTATCATAAGTATTCCTTTAGTTAAAAAATGTAAGACATTTTTTGAGAGGTTTGATATTAAAAAATATAAAATATTTTTATTATTATCTTTTTTTTCAAAAGTATCCCTATTGATAGTAACTTTATATTTATTATAAGATATTTAATAGGGATAAATATGAAACGATAGGGTTATTTTAAAAATAGGTAACTTTTTTATTAAGGGGTGAGATTCGGTTTTACATTTTTAAATGAAGGAAGTATACTTTAACAAATGTGGGTGATATTTGGCCAAAAAATAACAAAACAAAATAAACTTGAGTGAAAATTATGGGAAAAAAAATTATATACTTAGAGCATTTGTTTTCAATTAAATTAAAACATTTCAATTTTTTTAAAGATTATTTATTCTATAACAAACTCTTTTTATTAATATTATTAATATATTAAAATTCTCTTGTTTTGATTTTATTGGATAAAATTACATTAAGTATATAATACTAAGTACCTAAGTTTTATCCAAAATTATATCTGTATTAATTACAATTTTAGAAATTTCAAAATATTATTATTAATCTATGAATTTTGAGTTAAAAATCCAAAATATATATCGATATGCTATATTTTTATAAAATGTGTCACACTAAGCTTCATGTAAGATGTGATATTCATATATTAATTTCTCATATTTTTTTCCCAAAAAAATTTAATTTGTAAAAATAAAAATAAATGTTCTTAAGGGATTTTTTTGGCGTATGAGACTATTCTTATGTGATAAAAGGAGGAATAATATTTAAATCTTAAAACATCAGTTTAATAATAATAGTAATAGTAATTGTAATAGTTAGGTCCTACAAATTTTTACTAAATTTTTTTACTAAACAACTATAAATAGTCATTTAAATTTCATAGATCACTTTCTCATAATTTACAATTGATGATATAGCTCATTTTTCCTAAATTGCCCCAAACGTAAAAACAAAGTAATGCTGACAGGAGAATGCAGATAGTGGTGGGACGCGGCTCCCCAATATTATAAATTGTTTCGCTAAGTTTCTGCATCCCAAATCTTTGATCCAAATTAATATGGTCCGCAGTTTGTAAGCACTCCTTTTAAAAAGCATGCTTTCACCAAATTTTATACTCACACTTGAACTCAAAGCCTCTAGTTAAAATAGATCAGTCCTCTTGTCAATTGTTCTAAGCACCCAAAGATGAAATATTATACTTGTCTGATCCTCGTTATAAATTATTTTTAACATATTTAATTGAAAATCAAGAAAAAATTTAAAATTTAATAATTGTCTTAAAATTTAACAAATTCTTAAATTTATTTTTATTAAATATATATGTTTTAACAATATATTTTTTCCTTCAAACCAAAAATAAAGGGAGGAATTTGTATTGAAAATTTAATGAAATAATCTATAAATAATATTAAAAAAAAATCTTCTGTTTCTATCGAGTAAATTAATAAAGTGGTGATGATGTAAACACGCAATTTGTTAGAAGGCATCACAGGCCGTTCAAAGTGTAGGTGTTCCTCATAATGACTAGGGCCACACCATTTAATGGTGTCGTGCGTCGCACTTAATTCATTTGTTGTCCTTTTTAATGCCACCATGGATCAAGTTCCACTGTATAATCTACTCCTAATTTTTTTTTTTAATATTAGCTAGAACGCAATACAAAATTTAAATGATGAAAGCCGTGAACATGAGTGTCATAATGTCATACGCTCAAAAGTCTTCCAAGTGGAAAATCATTTGTCATTCCATAACATTTGATGTCCGTTTTGAAAAAGAAGATTTGATGTCAAATGAACAGAAAAATAATCAATTTAAATCTATTTATAATCTATACAATTATTTTTTTATTTTCTTGTGCAAGTTTTCTATTTCTTTTAAATACTCCCTCCATGTTTTTTATCATGACAAAAGCTGTGATGTTTTATTGCATCTTGTATGAGCAAAATGATAAATTTTTAAAAATATTTATGATATTTTTAAAAATATTTTTAAAATTTTCATATATAAAGTTAATATTTATTTTTATAAGATAAATTTGTTTTATTAATTGTAAGAATAATTTAATATATTTTTATTTATTTCAGATATAATTATTATGTATACTTAACTTTTTTTTTTTTGCCAACTATTAGATATACTTAACTCACTTTAGTTAAATTGTGTGGGATGATTATTTTTCTCTTATACTAATATTTGAAAATAGGTGTTTACCAAGTTTTTTTTTTTTGAAAATAGGGGAAGTATTTACTAACATAGTATATTCAATTTTATATAATATTTTTCAATTTTTACATGTTTGAGTAGAATTCAAATATAACTTAAATGTTTGATTTTGAGATGAATAATTAAACTTTGATAGACATTTCAAAGATTTTTGTAAAATGTCTCTTTGAAAGTAGCATTTTGAAATCAATCAATATAAACATTTAATCATGCAACCTTATTTGCTTCCATTGAAAACACTAGTGATGTGGGGGTGTCTGCCGAGCTTGGTGACTCGATTTGATATAATAGGTTGCCACACCAGGTTGGGTCAACACATTGAACCGGATTGGGCCGTTTGTCAGGCAAGGTGTTGTCTGGCGGGTGGCTTGACCCTTCATTTGTATGCATTATATGTTTTTTTAATGAACATTGGACAATTTGATAGGAGTGATTTATCTCAAATTTATGTGTACTATATTAACAAAATGACTATAGTGAAATGCACTTGAAAAAAAAAAAAAGAGATAGCATGGGTGCTTGGTTCAACTAATTGAGGGAATGCATGTGGTTGAAAAAATGTTTAGCTTATATTAAGGTTTTGAGTTCAAACCATAAAATGTGTAATTACGTTAAATAAATATACTAAAGACATTCCTGATGTACCAACAAGATTGTCATTGGTAATAATTATCATACATGGTAGGATTTTGCATAAGTTTGGAATAGAAGATGGCAATACTTCTAGGTTTCACAAGATACCTGGTGATGGAATAACAAATGAAAATAAGATAGACATATATTCTATTTTCTTCATAAAAAAAACTTTTCTTTACACCAAACTTTGCACGAGTGCATGTTTAGTAAAAATATATTTTTAGAAAAAAATGAAGAATTTATTTAAAAAGAAAATGAGCTAGATGCATTTGTCACTTTCTTTCTAGAAAGCATTTCTCCATCTACCAAAC